CCCCTGATCATGGACTGGGGCAGACCTGGAGAGAGGGCCAGGTGAAGAAGGGGAGCACACCTAGGGAGGGGTTCCTGGCTTGAGCGGGGAGCAGCCTCAGGCCCAGGTAAAAGTCTCAGAGGAACACAAGAAGCAGACACTGGACAGCTGGACTAAGCGATAGAGAGGAAAGGAGGAAAGCAAATAAGATAGAGATATAGACAGCAAAGGAACAGGGTGCCAGGTGGTGGGGGAGGGGTGGTGGTAGCCAGACCAATGGGAGGGAAAGACAGAGGCCAGGGGGGATGGACAGGCCAACAAAAGGCAAGGGACAGAAAAACAGAGGCCAGATGGACTAGAGGCTGAGAACAGACAGGCCAGGAGGAGGGACTGGAGAGACAGACAGATCGGGGGACAGAGGCCAGGGAGACAGACCAACCCAGAGCTGGTCGAGGCTAACATTAAAGGGGGGTGATCCGGGAGTGACAGGTAGAGGCTAGCCAGAAGGAAGGTGGTGGAGGGCCCAAGGGTCTGCATGCAGCGCAGACAGAGTCTCATCAAGCAGCTGTCCAGACTAGGGCCAGAGGGCTCTGGGAGGCCATGTGCTCAGCCTAGGGCCAGGAGGGTGGACCTGGGAACTAAGGCAGAGAGCAAGGAAGGGCAGAAAAGAGGAGGGCCTTTTGAGGGAGGAGGTGGGGTCTGACATGGGGACAGGGTCCAGAGGTGTGGAGAGCAGCCACAGTGTTTGGACAGGTTCAAGCCTCAGACTAATGAGAGGGCAGGGTCCTCTCGTGGCAAAGCCACGTGCAAGTCCCAGCTTGGAGGGCAAAGCCCTCCCAGCACAATTATAGCCAAAGGCTATAGTTGTAAGCTTGAACCTATGGTCCAAACCTGTGGTCCCACGTAGCGGAGTGATGTGGGCTTGATAGAGTTCAGGTGCATGTAATTGAGTAGATTTGAAACCTATGAGAACGTTGTGACCACGCCCTTACTTTGCCTCGTGGAATCTGGCTATAAAATAAAGACACGGCTTATAGGCATTGTCGCTAGCTCTCCATCAGAGAGGACAGCGTCCCACCGAGACCCAGCTTTTTTCTCTTGTCTGTCTTTTCTCAATCCTTCACCGCCCCCTCTCAGGCTCACCGAACCTGGCTGAGCTGGCTTGGCACACAGAGGCAGAGGGCTGGTGGTGGGCGATCTGGAGATAGCCCCTGAGCCATCGGGTCACATTCTGCCCCTTCCCATGGCTAAGCCCTAGACACTCAGCTCCTGTGCACATGCCCTCCTTTCAGACCTGTCCAGGGGGAGAGAGCAGTGGCCAGCAGTGGGACCATGTGCCTGAGTGGCCGTGCCGTCTCCATGGAAGAGACGGTGGTTGTGCTGCCACAAATGTTCTGCCACTTAGGAGCTGGCGGCTCCACCTGCGCTGCCTGCCTGACCCAGGGGCCGTCTCCAGAGCAACGTTCTGCTCTGCGCAGCAGTCGGGCCTGACCCAGGCGGTGCAGGTGGCCTGGCCCAGCCAGTCTGGCCTGTCCATTTCCTGCAAAGTATACACATCAGACTCAGAGTCCTTCTACTCCTCTCCCTTTGTCACACCCACTCTGCACAGCCAACTTGAGGCAGGGGTGCCAGATAACCACGCCCCTCCAAAGCCATCAGAGCCAAAGCCTCCCCGATGGGCTTGGCCCTGCACAGGGTTGAGCTCAGGGTCATGCGCCGTGTGTCTGTGTGTACCTGTTGGAGGTATCAGGTAGAGAGGTTGGCCCAAACCTACCTGAGTCATTCATTTGCTGAACATGATCAGGTGTTTTATAAGCATTCTGTTTTGGCATCAGGCTCAGTTCTGTTTGCATCTCTGCTGTCATTTACTTGCTGTATGTCCTTAGCCAGATCACTGTTCGTCTCTAAGATTCCTCATCGTTAAGTGGAGGTAATATTTACCTTGGCAGCTCAAAGGAGAAAATAGATCAAAGGCACGTAGCGCAGGACCTGGTACTAAGTGGGGCTGTTTGATAGTGTTCACTCTGCACTCCTTCCTTCCATCTCATGTCTCCTTCTGCAAATTGCACTGGGCTCTGGGGATGCCGAGATGGTCAAGTGAGGCTCCTGGCCTTAGACAGTCCTTAGTCCCACGGGTGAGGCTGAGATGTGGGAAGACCGCGAGTAGCCAGCAGTCAGGGCTCTGCTGAGGTGGTGCAGCATGCTGGGAGACACGAGTGAGCAGTTTACTACCCTGGTCCCCATGCAGCTCATGCCTTGTTTAGCCTCTCAACCGGAGCGTATACTTAAAACTGGCTGCGTCAGCAAAAGCTGGTTCCAACATCTTGGCCCGGAATAGGAAGAGGGTGGGTGCTTTAAAATTGGGGGCGAATGCTTATATATTCCCTCTGCCTTTCCCACACCACTGGGGGGCCCAGATAGCTTGCACCCAGCCCCCTTCAGGGCGCCCCTCTCTCTGGTGAGAGTGCCAGTCTAGCTGGACTCTCCCTCTTCACCTCAAAGTGCAACCAGCAGGTGGTTAGAAATGCAGAATCTCAGTCCTGCCCCCTAACACATTCAACACAATCAGAATCTGCATTTACCAAGATCCCCAGGTGCACATCGACACACTGAAGTTTGAGAAGCACTGATCTTGGAGATTTCAGCAGATCAGCTCACCTCTCCAAGCCTCGTTTTCCTCACCTGTTGGACATAGGGTGGTTGTGAGGATGCAATTGGAAAGCATATGCTACACACTTAGCACAGTGCCTGGGCCAGAGAGAGGCTCTGGAACTGCCAGCGACGTCCACTGCTGCCCCACAGATGGACACATGGCAGGCAGTTGGCCAGGGGTGACACAGACAGAGTCAAGAACTGGAACCCAGAAGACAGCGAGGGTGCAGAAGGAGGAGGGAAGGGACAGGCAAGGAAGTGAGGAATTGAGAGGCAGCAGATCTGGAGAAGAAAGAGTGAGGAGGGTGTAGAGAGTGGAGAAAAGGGGATGGGTGTTGGGTCACGTCAGCGGAATGGGGCGGAAACAAGGGCTGAGAGTAGACTTGGTGGGGGCGGGGGGCGGGCACCCACATCTAGATGAATTACACTCCTCCCACTGATGAGCTGTGTGACCCTTGAGCAAATCCCATCACCTCTCTGAGCTGCGGTTTCCTGTCTGTAATAATCTGGCTAATTCAACCGGCCTGATACCAGGTTGCTGAGTGGGTGAAATGGGCAGCAGTGGACGTGGCCCTGTTTTGTAAATGCACGGCGCTTGTTTTGTTTTAGGAACCTGAGGCAGCGTATTAAGATGATGGAAGAATGGTGTGAGAGGGGAGGATCAGCAAGGCGATTCACCTAGTGAGGATGGGAGACCTAACCCTGTCCCACAACCAGATCCTCATTCCCACTGCTCTCAACCCAACCCCTCTCCCTTCTACACCCTCCCTCTGAGGCATTTAGGATATCTTTTCCCTTACATGCCTCATGCCTTCTTCCCAGTTTTGCCAGTGTAGCAATGTTCCCAAGGAGAGGGGAGGCGGAGTGAGAGAGATTGAGTGCGCCGACCCCTGGCCCCCAGGGAAGGTGCTGCCTGTGATGGGTTTGACACGGGGGCTCTGTGCAGTGAGGCGAGCAGGGGGGGGGGGGGGGAGTTGCATCCACCTCTCCCTCAATCTCCTCCCCACCCCAGCTGCTGAATAAATCCCCACCACAGCTACGTCCCCAGCGGAGCCTCGACTTCCATCCCCAGGGCGCTAGTGCCATCTGGTGCCTACGCTGGAGAACTCTCTGCAGAGTTAGAAGATGGGCTTTGTTCAGCGCTGCAGTAACTGCTTATTAAACAGTTCTTGCCCAGCCAGTGTGGCTGAATGGCTGCGGTGGACTCCAGGAGGTCACGGTTGGATTCCCAGTCAGGACATATGCCTGGGTTGCAGGCTCGGTCCCCAGTGTGGGGCATGCAGGAGGCAGCTGATCAATGATTCTCTCTTATTGACATTTCTGTCTCTCTCCTTCTCCCCTCCTCTCTGAAATCAATAAAAAATATTTTTTAAAAAGAGTCCTTTGTGTCCCCCCCCACCCCCATCCCCCGCACTGGGGCAGGTGCAGTCTATTGGTGGGGGAGAGTTAGACATTGAACTAAGAGACAAACAGATAAACAAGACCATCTCAGGTGTTGATAAGTACTTTGAGCAAACCAACAAACACATTGATTGATGGGTGGAGGTGGAACTGTGCACGTGAGTGGTATATGAGTGTGTGGTGAGGAAAGACGCTTAAGCTGAGGTTTAAGAGGTGAACAGCTAGCCCTGCCAAAATGGGAGGGGGAGGCATTCCAGGGGAGGGACCCCAGTGAGCAAAGGTCTGAGGAAGGAAGGCGCACCATGAGGCTGAATTTGTCAGAGAGCTGGGGGCGGAGTGGCAGGAGAGGTAGGCAAGGGTCACGGCACACGCAGACTTTCAGGCGAGGGAAGGAGTCGGGCTTTGTTCTGCAGGGAATGGAAAGCCGTTGTTGGGCTTTAAGCGGACAGGCGACTTGGGTGGAAGGAGCACCCTGGCTACTGTGTGAACGGCCTGGAGGCAGAGGCAAGGATGGCGAGGGGAAAGCAGTTAGAGGCCCACTGTGGCCAGGTGGGCGATGATGGTGAGAGGGGGACACAACGCGGAAGGAAAGTGGATGAATTCTAAACAGATTTCAGATGTAGAATTGCCCACGACAGTTGCTGGCGAGGGAAAGGGAGGTTTCAGGGATTCTGACTTGAGAAATTTGGTAGATAGTGGGGCCCTTCACTCAGAGGAGGAGAATGGTGGGGGGGGGGCAGGATTTGGGAAGATGTCAAGAGTTCTGCTATGGATTTGTTAAGCTAGAGATGCCTTCAATCATCTAAGGGAGGATGTCAGCAGAAAAGATGGAGCTCAGGTGAGAGGCTGGGCTGTAGACTGATTCCTGGAATATGGGACAGGGCTGCCCAGGCAGGGAAGGGGTGCAGGGAAACCTAAGGAGTGTTAGCTCTCCTTCCATCTCCCCTTCTCTTCTCTTCCACCTTCAGGTCTATACTCGCTACGGGAAGTGTTACACTTTCAATGCAGACCCGCAGAGCTCCCTTCCCAGCCGGGCTGGGGGCATGGGCAGTGGCCTGGAGATCATGCTGGACATCCAGCAGGAGGAGTACCTGCCCATCTGGAGAGAGACAAGTACGCAGGCGGGAAAGGGACAGGGCCTCCCTGGGGACTCGGGCTGGGGCCAGCTGCCGGGGATGGCTTTCCAAAGGTCCCCCTCTCCACTGTGCAGATGAGACATCGTTTGAGGCTGGCATCCGTGTGCAGATCCATAGCCAGGAGGAGCCACCCTACATCCACCAGCTGGGCTTCGGCGTGTCCCCAGGCTTCCAGACCTTCGTGTCCTGCCAGGAACAGCGGGTGATCACCTCCAGCTGGGCACTGGGTTGGGCCCGGGGCTGGGCCTTTGGGCGTAGAGGGGATGCTGACCAGACCTGCCCTCCCAAGCTCGCAGCCCACCAGTCCACCCATGGACTTTGCTGGGGCTGTGGGCACTGGAGGGCCAGATGGTACTCCTGGGCATGACCCCATCATGCCCACCTCTGCAGCTGACCTATCTGCCCCAGCCCTGGGGCAACTGCCGGGCGGAGAGCGGGCTCAGGGAGCCTGAGCTTCAGGGCTACTCGGCCTACAGTGTGTCTGCCTGCCGGCTGCGCTGTGAAAAGGAGGCCGTGCTTCAGCGCTGCCACTGCCGAATGGTGCACATGCCAGGTGGGCACCCACCACCCTGCCGACCCTCTGTGCCACCCTGCCAGGCTCCAGAACCTCCAGGGGCAGAGGACTGCTCATGTGCACGGGCAGGTGCATGTGTGCAACATGTGTGCATGTCTATACCCATGTGAGTGTGTGTATTTGGGATTTTATGCATGTTTTAACATATGCACATAGATGACTTGTATTTATACATACACGTGACCATGTACATATATACCTGTGTACTTCTGGGGGTTGTGTGCACATGTTTCAATTCATGTATATAAATGTGTTTGCATATGTGTGCACACAAGTGTGCATGTTTGTATGTCTATATGCATGTGTACATTTACATGCTTATATGCTTGAGCATGTATACATTCATGCCTGCATGTGTGTGTGCAAACGTGTACATCTGGGGCGTGTGTGTGCATGCACAAGTGTGCCCACATTTGGGAATGGGGTGGGACAGAGGGGATGGAACCGTAGACTCCAGGAATAATCTTCTCTCCTTTCAGGCAATGAGACCATCTGCCCACCAAATATCTACATTGAGTGTGCCGACCACACACTGGGTCCGTGCTGCCTGCTCCCTTTCCTGCCTCTCCATCACCCTCCTCTTCACCTCTCTGTCTACCCTTCACCTAACAACCTTGGCTCTCCTCCTCCCAGTCTCTTCCTGGGGGTTCTTCCTGGGGGTTGAGCCTTATCCCATACCTCCAGGGGTCTGAAGACCTTTGCAGGTGTGAACATTTGGGTAAGTGGAGGCAGCTGGGTGAGGGGTTGCAGAGAACCCAGACTTCTAGGTTTGGTTCAGAATGAGCTTGCCTCTCTGGGGAAGTGAAATGACTCCTTTCTTGGTGTAAGGAAAAATGCATTGCTGGCTCCCAGTGTGGGTAAGACAGGCCCCATCTGTCCATAGGTCCTGTCTGATCTGCACTTCATTCATTCATTCATTTATTCATTCATTCAACAGACATTTACAGCCTGTGCTGGTGTGTGCATGGGAACAAGAGCCCTGCTCTTGGCAGAGCTCACTGCGGCAAGGCTGTGGATAGGCATTAAGACACAGTGTGTTAGTCCTTGGGTAGGGGAACCTCAGAGATTCTACAAGGCCCCAGGGAAGGGCATGCACCTGGGAAGGCAGAGGGGCTTCTTAGAGGAAGTGACAGAGACTGAGACTTGAAGGGTACGTCAGAGTCACCCAGGTGAAAAGGGGACATGTTCTAGACAGTAAGAAGAGCGCATGCTAAAGACCTTGTGGCCAGAGAAAGCGTATGTCTGGGGCACTGAAAGATCAGTGTGGCTGGAGGGCAAAGCACAGCGGAGGGGGTGGGGAAGAGTAGAGGAGGCTCTGGGAAGCCAACAATGGCTTAAGGCAAGGCAAGAATACTATCTGATTTTAGGAAGGTGACTCTGATTACATGTGGGAAATGGATAGGTGTGGAGTGAGACTAGAAGCAGGGTGAGTCGGAAGAGCCTGGCAATAACCCAGATGATGCGGCCAGGGGAGGAGAGAAGTGATGGGCTTGAGATGCTGAGGCAGTAGAATCACATTGAGGCCTTCCCTGTCCCACACACCAACTGTGGCAGTCAGAGGGGTGGGTGAAGGGTGTCTAGTGAAGGAACAGGTGTGTGAGCAGGGATAAGTAAACCACAAGGGATGGTGAGACTTCACAGAACTAGCAACACCAGCAGGCTTTCCTCCCCCAGGCCTGGATGGGTGCAGGAGGGGAGCCCCCTGGAACTCACAGAGAGAGCTGTGGTTGTCTGAGAGGGCTGATGAGCAGGAGCTGTGGTCACGAGAGGAGGAATGAAGGCCCTGCTCACGATGGCCTGGCAGCAAGGAAGCAGGGAAAGAAATACCCTGGTACCTCTCCCCTCCTGGCCTTCTGACCCTGCTGGGGCCTCCCAACCCAAAGCCAGAGGATGAGGGAGTCAGGTGATGCATTTAGCAGAGCTCAGCCTTGTGGGCACAGTGAAAGACAGAGAATGGAGAGTGGATCTGAAGGTGTGAACAGAGAAAACCCAGCTTACTAAGCATACAAATCCTGTCCATCCCCTTGTTCTTTTGTCTCTCCATCTGTCCTTCCATCCATCCACTCATCCATCACCCATTCATCCCAGCTTCCTCTCCAAGTCCTTTGTGTGTCTGAGGCCTCATGTGTTTGATTAGCTCTAAGCGATGAGGACCCCCCTCCCTGCTGCCCAGGGAGCTGGGGACAGAGGGACAAGCCTGTGGGAGGGTGCCGGGAGCTTTGTCTTCATCTGCTTTGTTGGGTAGCCTGAAGCTGGTCCAGGAAGGGACCTCCCCCCTCCCCCATCCAGTGTCCTCTAGGCAGTGCCAGTGCTGGCCAGAAAAGCCCTTAGTGTGGGCCTGGCTGCCTCAGGACAGCCTCTGCAGCTGGTGGGCCTTTGGGCCACCCCCTCACCCCCACTGCAGTTGGTGCCTCTGTGTTGCAGACTCCCTGGGTGGGGGCTCCGAGGGCCCATGTTTCTGTCCTACTCCCTGCAACCTGACCCGCTACGGGAAAGAAATCTCCATGGTCAGGATCCCCAACAGGGGTTCAGCCCGGTACCTGGCCAGGAAGTACAACCGCAATGAGACCTACATACGGTATGTGTGTGCATGTGCGTGTTCGTGTGTGCATGTGTGTGTGGTGGAAGCCACCTTCACACCCGGTGCATGATGGAGACGGGGAGTAGGCTGCATCTTTGTTAATAATGAGCCTTCTGCCAGGAATGCTTTCAGTCCTTTTCTTCTAACTACCCCCACCCATCCTCCAAGTCACATCCTTTGTCTCCACCTCCGGGGAAGTCCTTGTTGGTCCACATGCCTTTCATCTGAGCTGCTATAGCACCCTATCTCCGTCATTGCATGCACCCATTGTTTTAGAACCCCCGTTTATGTGTTTTCTTCCTCAGCAACCTGGGGCTGTTAAATGCATGTTGAGTGAATGCTGTGCTGAGGGAGAGAAACTGGAAGGACTGGGAGAGGAATGAGGAGGGGCCATACTGAACACTGGGTCTGGCACCCGGCAGCCAGTCTACAAATGCCGAGCATCCTCTGGGTGCCAGGACCAGTGCCGGGTCCTGTGAAGACAGATGATTATGACACAAAACCCATGCCACAATTTGTGGATGAGCCCATGTGTGAGGGTGTGGTATGCTTCTCAGGCCCCAGGAGAGATTCATGGGCATGGGGTAGGGAAGCAGGGTAGGCATGAGCTGGGCCTCTGAGGAGCCTGGGTCTGTGAGAGGAAGAGAAAGGAGGAGAGAGGGGTGGCATCCCAGTTAGAGAACTGTGTTGGTGCGGAGATTGGCCTGAGTAGGAGGGGGACGAGAAGCAGGTAAGAAAGCAGATTAATAAGAAGGCACAGTGCAACAGATCGTGGGCAGTCTTGGAAGTGTGGAAGAAGACTTTTGGAGTGGACTGTTGGGCAATAGGGAGCCACTGAAGGTTCTAGAGAGGGATAGGGATGAGGCAACATGAACACTATTTGCTGCTTTGGAGGAGAAGATAGGCGGGAATCTGCAGGCCCAGGCATTCTTGCTCTCCCAGGCCTTTTGATAACCCTCAAAGTGTGAAGCTCACATGTATCTGGAACTGCCTCCCCTCACTGCCTTGGGGTGTCTGAGGGTAGTCACCAGCTTCCCTGCACAAGGGGTCTCAGAGCAGCATCTGCTGGACCTGGGATGTCCCTGCCGGCCACCTCCTTGGAAGGTGATCCCACATGGACACTCTGCTTCCTGCCTCTGCAGGGAGAACTTCCTGGTCCTAGATGTCTTTTTTGAAGCACTGACCTCCGAGGCCATGGAACAGCGAGCAGCCTATGGCTTGTCAGCCCTGTTGGGTGAGACCTGGCTCAGATTCCATGGGCATGGGTCAGCTGGGCCTGCTCCCTCTGACCTGCTTTCATGATCCCCAGGAGACCTCGGGGGACAGATGGGCCTGTTCATCGGGGCCAGTATCCTCACACTGCTGGAGATCCTCGACTACATCTATGAGGCAAGGAAGGGGCCTGTCGGGGGCCACCACACAGCCGGCGGAGGAGAGGAGGGGGCCTGTGGGAAAAGCAGAGGGGAGTGTGGGCTTCCTGGGGGAGCCGGCTGCCGGGAAGTCAAGCTCTGGGTTCTTTGCCAGGGCCCCCTGACTGACTAGAAGGCCTGAAGTTGCTGAGAAGTCAGGAGAAGGGGGTGGGGGAAGAGGGTTGGGGAGTCCTAGTTGGGGTTTGCTGGGTAGCAAGTGCTATAAGGTGAACCTGGCTAGTCTGCCCTTCTCCTCTACCAATACCAGGGAGAGATGCCAGGATATTTCTTCCCCCGCTTCCTTACTGCCCTTCTCTACCAAGTTTCCCGAGCCCACAACTGTCCCCTCACCCTGAACCCCAAGGTGTCCTGGGACCGACTGAAGAGGGTGTGGCGTCGTCCCAAGACCCCCCTGCGGACCTCCTCTGGGGGCATCTCCACCCTGGGGCTGCAGGAGCTGAAGGAGCAGGTGAGGATGAGCCCTGAGAGGATGCAGCCAGCGCCTTCTCCCGGGACTGAGCACCCTCATGGTTTCTGTACCAGCCTGAGAGGGGTTCCTGGGCTCCCTTGGAGCCTCTGCCACAGGGGACAGGGAAAGGCTGGCTGTGTGACGCTTGGGGGCATGGTTTGAACTCTCCCTCTTCACCTTGCAGAGTCCCTGTCTGAGCCGGGGCCGGGCTGAAGGTGGGGGAGCCAGCAACCTGCTCCCCAACCACCACCACCCACACGGCCCTGCAGGAGGCCTCTTTGAAGACTTCGCTTGCTAGGATGATGCTGTGTCTAAAAGGACCAAGGCATCTGGGACTCCTCCCTGGATCCCCAAAATAGTCTCCTCCTGCTCCCAGGACAGAAGGCCTGTGGGCAGCCCAAGGCTGACGGGGAGAGGGTAGTGCTCACTGGGAAGACACTCAGTTCCTGTTCTCACCGACCCTGGCGCCAGCTGCTTCGCACAAGGGTCCTTCTTGTCCATATCCCCTCCCAAGGTTGGTGCCTGGGGAGAGCTGGAGAGCAGACCATGGCCCCCTGTGGAGGAGAGAGGGGAGAAGAGAGGGAGGTGGAGGAAGTGGCCAACCCCAGAAGGGGTGGAACCCTCTGTACATTTGTATATATTTAGGGAGGACAGGGTGGGGGTGGGAGTACAGATATAGAAGATGGGTGGGGTTATGGGGGTGGGTGATTCAGTGACAGCCAGGGTCCCAGCCCTAGAGTGTCATCAGGAGAGGGCGGGCTCCCAGGAGTTGGGACTGCTGGGCTTCTCCTACTTCCTGCCCCTCTCCAGGCCCACTCCATGGAGGCAGGGGGAGCGGATGGCCCAGCAGGCCTGGCCCAGCTCCCAATTCCCCCTGTCCCATCCCCACCCACAGAGTCCCCTCTACAAGGAGCAGGCAAACCTTTCAGACCCTGGCTGAGCTTGGGGGTGGGGGAGAAAGTTTTCTCAGGCCTGCGTCTCCAGTCTGGTTTTATAAGTGCAGACGAAATTAGGAATAAAGAGGCATAAAGAATTCTCTGTGTCTATGTGTGACCAGGCTGGGAGCTGGGGCGGGGCTGGGCATATGCAGGACTTGGTCCCCAGGAAAAGGAAATCCAGGCCCAGCCGGGACAGAGTTTCCATCCTCACTTTCCCTGCCCCTTGCCTACCTTTCAAAAACCCAGAATCACCAGTCCACACTCAGCCAGTTTATTAAAGGCAGAGAGCTTCATCGGGGTCCACAGGGGAGAAGCTGGGAGACACCCCACATTCCTCCTCTCAGCTCCCCCCTTTCCCAACAAGTCATCTACAGCCCAGCCCCTGGACTTAGAGGCAGGCCTGGCGTCAGGCGACTGCACTACATAAATATCAAGGCCACAGCTTGAGTCAGCAGTGTCAGGGGCAGGAAGGGGTGGCTCTGAGGGCACCTCCCGCGGGGCTTCTCCTGAGCCTGAGCACCCTAAAGCCAGAGAGAGAGGAGGCCAGTGGGCTGTCCTGGAGTCTGAGGCTGTGGCCAGCCAGCCCTGTCCAGGGAGGCTGACAGGTGGCTCCGGGTAGTTGGGGAGAAGCACCCCCAGGCCAGGGTTTTGGGGTACAGGGTGGGTTCAGGTGCTGTTGCCCTGCTCCTGCTCAAAGAGCAGCATGGCGAGCTGGGTGCGGGAGCCCAGGCCCTCCAGCACACTCTGGCGACAGCGATGGTATAGGTCCTCGCTGAGCCGTGCACTGCACGTCTGGGCCCGGTAGTGCTGCAGCAGCGCCGGCTCCACTGCCCGCAGCACATGCAGGCTGGAGAAGCGGAGGAACAGCTCGTACACGTCCATGCTCTCCAGGAGCTCCTCCTCCTGCTCCGAGGCCGCTGCCAGCTGCCCTCGGGCCGCCACATAGTCAGAGTTATAGAAGCAGGCCTCACTGGCCGCCTGGCGGTCAAAGTGGCCTGTGTCTCGGCCCAGCTCCGGGGGTCCCGGGCCCTGTGGTGGGGCCACGGCTGGGTGGAAGGCCTGGAAGTGCATGGGAAAGAAGGCCTGCCAGCCGGAGATGGCGTGCATGCGGCAACGGTTCAGGAAGTCAGGCGTGAGCACCGTGTCCGGCCCAGCCAGTAGGAATAGCGTGTCCAACGGGTGCTTCTTGGAGAGTAGATCCATGAGGCGCAGAGGTGAGGGGGCGGCTGTCTGCACACTGAGCCAGGGTACCCGGGCACCGGGGAAACGCTGCTCTAGCTCTGCCACATGGGCCTTGACAGGTGCGAAGACATCTGCATGGGCTGCCCGCTGGGCCTGTCGTGGCTCATATAGCAGCAGCAGGGTCAAAGCGGCTGCAGCATCACCAGGCTCCAGAGCTGCTGTGGCGAAGGCCTCCAGGAAGCCAGGGGCCAGGTCACGCTCCGCCGCGGCCAGAGGCAGTAACACAGTGAGACGTGACGCCTCGGTGACGTAGGGCACAGGCAAAATCTCCACGCGGCTCAGTGGCCGTAGCAGCTGCACCCGGTGAGTGAGGGGCCGGCGGCCACCCTGGGGGGTCAGCGCCTCCAGCTGCAAGTCCAGTGTGTACTCCATACCCCGAGCAGGATCAAAGCGACGGTAGCCATTAATCAGCTGCTGCTTCTGGAGCTGCAGGACTGGGTGGTAGCGGCGGTTGAGCTCCTCCAAGGCTGCCCCCAGAACATCGGCCACATCGGCCTGATCAGCCCCACGCAGAGGGCAGCGGGGCGAGCCATCAGCACAGGAGAAAGCATGCTGCTCAGTGAAATAGTCCCAGCGCAGCACCTCAAAGCGGGAGGCTGGGCGGGATGGTGCTGGAATGCCCACGGGCCAAGCGGCTGCTCGCTCCCCATCAGCTGCCAGACGGCTGGTGTTCTGGATCTCCCACTGGGTTGGAGAAACAGACTGTGAGCAAGGCAGAGACCCCAGGGGCCAGCTGGGGGACTGGGCAGACGGCAGGTGCCACTCGGGATGGGTCCTGTCCCCTGCCAACGTCTGCCTTCCAATGCCCCTACCTATCCTTTCCCCAGACGGAGGCAGCCTGAGAGCCAAAAGGGGGGTTTCTGGAGGGGCTTCTCAGAATGGACAGAAAGAAACAGGGACAGATGGGTTCTGATTCTAGTGCTCATAGTTTATTTCCCTGGGATCTCTAAGACCTCACAGGACCTGCCACCCTACCCCCGGCCCAGACCATACCTGCAATTCCTGGATCTCCTGGTATGTGCGTTCCAGCTCAGCTCGGGCAAAAGCCTTGTGCAGCTGGTACATGTGCACAGGGTCACGCACAGGGTAGGCGGTCAGGGCGCTGCGGAAACGAGGGTCCCCCTCCTGCACGGGCTCCCCAGGGCTCAGCTCCAGGTAGCTATAATGCACTCCCTGGGGAGAGAAAGAGTAGGGGTCCATAATGGGAAGAATGATGGAACAGCCTCCACCCCTCCCCTCCTAGTGTGTGTCTCATTTCCCTACCCTATGACCTGTTGTGGACTTGCAATCAGAATTGTGGTTTTAAGTACCTTGGCTGGTTGTCAGCTTGTGTGTGACCTTGGTCAAGCCTCTGCTAGTTCATCTAGGAAATGGGCATGCATCCTATGTCAGAGCTGTCCAGGGGCTCAAATAAAATAATTGCCAATACTGAACACCTACTATGTGCAAAGCTCTCTTATTTTTTTTCTAATCCTTATAACAACCCTGAGCAATAATTGTTTCCATTGGTATGGATGAGGATACTGCCACTCAGGAGATTCAGTAATTTACCGAAGGTCATAGGGATAGAAAAGGGCAAAACTGGCAAGGAAACCCAGGCCTGTATCTCCAACCACCCCTTTGCCTCTCAGGGGAAGTACACAAGCTCAGAGGCGGCTTATCTTCTCACCTCGTGGTCACCAGTGCAGCCCACCCCTGTGGCATCAAGGATGCAGCGTCCCAGCCACTCATCGGGACGCGCACTGACGATGTCATTGCGGCAGCCTTCCAGATGGGGGCGCAGCTGCTGCAGCAGGGTGCGGGACAACAGTACCCCAAAGCCTCCGTGGCAGTAGCGGCCTGGGGCAGGCTCTCCACCGATGAAGTCCTGGGGCCGGCCCAGATAGAGGTGGGCAGCAGCTGCCAGGCTGAGGTGGCCAGCTAGGCGCATCAGTCCGTGGGCCTCGGTGTAGGTGGTATCAGGTACTAGGAAGAACCAGTCAAAGTCGTTGCCGTGCTGCTCCAGCAGGTGGCGTAGTGCCAGGTGTAGGTGGCCAATAGGCCTCTCCTCGCCCAATGTCACCACAGCCATGCCTGGTGGTGCCCTACGGCCTCGAGAGCCTGTCAGGAACACCACACGCTCTAGCCGGTGCCCCAGTGTGCGGTTCATGGCCACACCCATAGTGGACAACGTGGCCTGTGAGGTCAGCACTGCCACCAGCAGCTTCTGCCTGATGCCCAGCTCGGTGCTGATGTAGCGGGTCCTAGGGGAGAAGGCACACGATTATCAAAAAGACAAGGGGGCCCTGGCCAGTGTGGCTCAGTGGATGAAGCGTCTGTCTGCAGACTGAAGGGTACCGGGTTCGAGTCCAGTCAATGGCACATGCCCGGATTGTGGGCTTGATCCCCAGTAGAGGGCTTGCAGGAGGTAGCCAATCAAAGATTCTCTCTCATCATTGATGTTTCTATCTCTCTTTCCCTCTCCCTTCCCCTGTGAAATCAATAAAAGTATAAAAAAAATAATAAGAAAGACAATGGGGCCCTGGCCAATGTGGGTCAGTTGTTGGAGCGTCGTCCCTACACCAAAAGGCAGTAAGTTTGATTCCCAATTAGGGCACATAGTCAGGTGGTGGCCTCCATCCCCAGTCAGGGCGCGTGCAGGAGGTAAACTGATTGACGTTTCTCTCTCTCCCTCTCTTTCCCCTTCCCTCCCTCCCTTCCTCTCTCGAAGATCAATATTTTAAAAACGTTTAAGGAAGACAGGAGGCAGCATACATAGGCTTCCGCAGGTCATGTCCTCTCTGGGCCGTCTCCTCACCTATGAATAGGATGAGAATAACATGTCTCTCCCAGGTGTCATGTGAATTTAAGTAAAATGTTAGTCTTGCCTACATAGTGCTTTTGGGAGATGGCAATATCCATGCAGACATGAGAGATATATTGTGGGTCTGATTCCCTGTTTCACTACTTAGTAGTTGTGCCCTTGAGCAAGTTATTTAGCGTATCTGAGCCTCAGTAGCCACATCTGAAAAACGGGGTTGACTGTATCTACTTAAAGCACTTAGGCAAATGCTTGACTCATAGGTACTCTACACACCGTGTGCACAGTACTCATTTCTATATAAATATGCCATTATACCACAAACACATCACAGAAATGATGTAATGGAATATATGGCATAGGGGTGTATTGAGTGTGTCTGGGGGAAGGGCAAGTTGGAGCTCAGGAGTTCCAGTAACTTGCCTTCCATAACACAGACGCTAAGTTGCAGAACTGGAATTTGAACTCAGTGTTGCCTAGGAGAATGACTTCAGCTCCTGGGGAGGCATTACTGGGATGGCTACATCATTTCTCTCCCACAAACCTCATCACGAGGT